CCAGGTTTTGCACACTGGGAAACGTGTGCCATGAAAACATTTCCACAAAGCCATTTTTCAGATTCGCTAGAAAGAATAATAACCTTCCTTTTCTCAAATTTTAAAAGAAAACATAAAAACATGCATAAACTAAGGGTGTTTGCTTTTTCCCTTACAGATATTAAAAAAAAATAAATAAATCACAAGAGCTGTCTGGCTATAAATATGCCATTGCATAAGCACATTAATATGATACAGTCACAGTATTTTGTTTGCTATTCCCAAGAGGCAAATTACACAAGGATAGGCTTCTAAAACTTTAGCAGCAGTAGTTGTGAAGATAAGAGGCACAAATGTCAAAACAGAAATAATATACCAGACATAGTTTGATTTTTCAGAGCCAAATTCTACTCATTTGCATTATGGAAATGGATAACACCATAAATAGCCCCAAATCAACCAAGTAGCTCCAAATTTATATCCCAGTAAATGACAGCACAATTTGACCTCCGGATTTTGTATTTTTTACTGAAGGGAAAAGAACATGTATTTGTTGGGAGCCGTCTGCTCCTCTTGTTTATAATAAGACACAGTTTGTCGTTGCTGCAAGATGAAACCACATGCTTTTCAAAGCTCAGTTCATGGCTGTGTAAGGGAACAGTTCTTTCTAAAATATGCAAAATCTGAACAATTCTGTTATAACTATCTGCTGGCTCTACAAGAATAATACCTTGAGGCAATGAGCAAAACTGAACTTTATTAAAAAATTCATAAAAGAAAGGAATAGTGAGCTTGGATAAAAAAAGAGGGGCTTAAGACACAATATGGCACTGCATTATACTTTAGACCTGCAAAGATATAAACCTGTAAAAGGTTTTGACTTCATAAATACTGTGTAGTTCAACGCAAAGTCAAATGCTGTTAGATGTCTTTGGAAGTATGATTGTATTTTGTTCTTCAAAGAGCATTTTATGGAACGGATCTAAGGATATACTTTTGTTACTGCATCCACTTCTTTGAAATACAAGAGAAGTGGGAAGGCATGGGAGAAACAAAAATGCAGCTCAGAATATTGATTACTGAAAGACATGAGATACCTGAAATGAATTGCTCAATAGAGACTTGAAATGGGATATATTACCTTTCATGCCTTTGACAAGATGGGGCCTAATCCTTAGGCAAAGCAGCTGCCGTTAATAATGGTTAAAAATAATTCCATTACTTAATCCCCAACTGTGAAATGAATTGGTATTTCTAGTCGAGTTATTAAGGGGTGTATCTGAACCTCGCAAGGAAACTCCCATCCCCAAAAGCTTTCTTTCTTGTGTCAAACTAGTCCTTTGCCCAAAGGGCTTTTGTGAAGAACAGGGATTGGCCTACTTCAAACTTCAACTGCTGTTTTTGCCATATTCCTGGTAGGCAAATAGTTCTCTTCCTCCAAAGCTGTCGATTTGGACACAAATATTCTTCATTATTTCATTAAAAAATCCTGTAAGTAAATGTCATTTGATACATTACCCTTTCTAATGTAAACAATTCCTTATGAAATGCTCTACCCTTCGTAGACAACATCTTTCCATTCTTCATCAGCATGTAGATTTGACTGAGAAATTGTAATGCTAATTTAGTTCTTCATAATTATGACTATTAGGTTTTAAATAATTCATTCTCCCTTCTCGCTGGATTAGATACTTCAAAAAGTAAGCTTTTCTAAAATTACACGCTCTTGGATCTGGTAGCTTACAGAACTTGCTCATAATGCATATAAGACTATGGTCTACTTTCTTAAGAAACATTTTAAAATACTTCTGTAAAATACACTGCTATGATTCAGACCCTTGAGGGAGCAATAGGCATAATTGGTTCCAGTTTCGGCTTTAACTGATTCGTTGTCCCTCAAGTAAAATGAAGGTGCTCCTCAAGCTGGACTGGCGTGTAGCTTGGCACTGGAAGCAACTGCTAGAAAACTAAGACAGAGTGGGTCAGAGATGAGAACAACATGAAGGGACAGTGGCAGCTACACACAGCACACAATGAGGATTGTAAGGTAGCTCAAAACATCAGACTTTGATAGACGATCCACAGCCATGACACCACTGGACTCAATAACCATCCCTAATCCATCTGTGAAGGGTAGGTCCAAGGCTACACTCAGGATCACGCTTGTGTGCCTTTTCTCCAGGCACCCCATAAATCTACTCCTTCAGGGGCTACAGCAGCATGCTTCCATACAAGATGTTATGTGCCTCAACATTGCCAGGACTGCCTCATATTAGTGATTCACAGGCTCTCCATAAGTAGATGGTGAAACCGCAAGTGAAGAGAAGTGTGAGGACAGCAAAGCACCCATGGTGTGTTGTCACACATAGCGCTCATCACCAAATCACACTGGTAGCAGAGGACCATGGCCTCGCCTCTCTTGCACCTCAACTGATGGGCATCACCAGTCAGTCATTCTATCACAGTTCCCAGTGTTTAGCTTCTCACACATTGGATCAAAAAAAGAACAAGAGCTGGTCATACTTCTGATTGCCTCAGAGACCCGGTGAAAGACAGTCCAGTTCAACACATAGATTATAATTAGATTTTACAAGCATGTGATCACTCCCAATAGGTACTCAGCAGAAAACAGAGAAATATCATATAATTTTATTCCTTAAAGAATGGGGTCTAGATCCTCAGCTTGAGATAAAGCTGCAGATCCCTTCCTGGATGTCTGCAACAGATGAGAGGGTCTCCTTTACTACCTGTACTCCACATTTGATTACAGTTAACCCTACATGGAAGTCTCTGCAATGAGAATGCAAAAAGTCTACATAGGGACAGGTAAGAGCACTGCTAATTAGTATTATATATGAGCATTTAAATTAACTAGTCCTCTGTGATATGTTCTCACAGGCTCACCAGTGCTCAAAATTTGCCTCTCATTTACTATTTCATCCTTGTCTCAGGGCATGATGGTACTGATTATTTTGGGTTACTTCAAGTGCCTCATTCTGGATCTGCAGATCTCACATTCTCACACATCTTCAGTGCAAAGAGGGCAGCTTCTGTTTCTGTGCAGAGCCATTAAATAGGTTGGCATTTGCATCTCTTTTAAAGCCTACTTTCACTGGAACTCTGGTAACATTCATTACAAAAATGCAGCCTGCATTTCTTTTAAATCAATTAAAATGGCAAATGTCGTCATAGATTTTCTCAGGTACATAGAATTTACACATCAGCTAGCCTCACAGGAGGCCCTTAATTTTTTTATTACTTTTTTGCAATTAACTCCTTGCATGCTCAAGGAATCCATATTTATACAGAGACCCACTTATCTTCAAACAAACACTTCCCTTTGATCTGAGCTTCTGTCATTCCTACCTTCACGGATAAAAAAAGATGATAGATCTTAGTATGTAGCTCACAAGAGCTTTAGAAATCTAGCACTCGAAAATGAAAAATTCAGAGAAATTTATCTGTAACATTCACGTGAGTGTTCGTAACAGGGGATGATCAGCACAGGGAACCCCCACACGGGTTTGCCCGGTGCGGGGAATCCTATTTGAACACCTCTGGAAGCGTCAGCTTCTCCCCAGCAAAGCTGTGGTCTGGCCAGCTGGCTGCTGACCTTGTGAAATGCGTGAGTTCAGCAGAGCAGGGGCTGATCTGCTCTAATTCCCTCTCTCCGGAGCTTTTCTTTCCCACCAGAGGGCATACACTGTGAGCACACAACTGCCTCCAGAGGAATTTAAAATATATATTGTGTACCAGATAAATGAACTGACTCGAATGCCAAGATTTTGTACTCGATTCTATTCAAACCCTGTTGCTCGCTGGGTAAATTATTCCACTTGCTACAAAAGCAGTTGGTTTAGCATACTTTTGTTTGACTTTGTGGAGCGCCGGGCGCGCAGTGCTGTTGAATAAGGCCATTCATTTATTCAGCTACTGGGCTGGCTGGTGGTTCTGTACTGGTATTCACCCTTGCCTCCCTCCAAATACCGGGGGAAGAAGTTACTCCCCGCGTTCTAGGCTTTTAAAATCTCGTGCCTAAAATTTTAATGTCAACAGAAGTCATTAAAGCTATAACAAAAATATATACAAAAATACAGTGGTAGTTGAGGTGAATGAGCTTAGGTGCGGGCAGGAGGATGGCTGGGAGGAGGAGGGGAAGCAGCAAAGCAGGGGGTGGCCGAGGGGGGAAAGATCTGGGGATACTAAAAGGGTGGGTGTCAGGAGGATGGGTCCAGTCTTTTTACAGTGGTGCCCAGTGACAGGACAAGAGGTAACGGGCACAAACTTCAACGTAAGAAGTTCCATCTAAACATGAGGTGGAACTTCTTTCCTGTGAGGGTGGCAGAGCCCTGGCAGAGGCTGCCCAGAGAAGCTGTGGAGTCTCCTTCTCTGGAGACATTCAAACCCCACCTGGACACGTTCCTGTGGGACCTGCTCTGGGTGGCCCTGCTCTGGCAGGGGGTTGGACTAGATGATCTCCAGAGGTCCCTTCCAACCCCATATCATTCTGTGATTCTGTGATAACCGAGGCCCATAAAATGGGTGGAATGTGGCACGTTTTAAAACGTTCATCACCACGTAACTGTGGGTGTGCAAGCAGGGAAGAGAAGGGGTAGGATGAGGAGGGGAGCAGAAAAGAAATAAAGAACCAAGGAGGGGAAAAAAACCTGACAAACACGAAGCAGGTGAGCGTTTCCTCGCTGCGCACCGAGAGGCTCCCCGGGATCCGCGCCTCAGCGGCTGCTCGGGCCTCAGGACGGCACCTGCCATCACCCGCAGCAGCTCTCGGAGGCCCCTGGGACCAGGCCGGACCAGGCCTTCTCCTGGGCCCCAGCCCTGCCTCCGGGGCCGGCCGGCCGCCTCCGCTCTTCGCTGCCAGGGGCTGGCGGGGGGCCCGCGGCCCGCGGCGGGAGGAAGGGAAGGCGCTGAGGGGTAGGCGGGCGGCGGGAATGAGCGGTGAGGGGCCCGGACTACATTTCCCAGCGTGCCCCTGGCGGCCTCGGGGCGGTGCCGGGGGAGGGGAAGGGAAGGGCAGGGCGGTGGGAGACATAACATGGGGGCCTAAAGCCGGGACGAAGGTAGGGACGGGCTGTTGGCTGGGTCGGGGCGGGGGGGTGTTGTGGGTCGTGCTTGGTTTGCGGGGTGAGGGGCAGGGCGCGCTGTGGCCGGCCCTGCTGGAGGGACAAGGGCCCGGAGGTCGGGGCGGGGGCCGGGCACCCCGCCCCGCCGCTAGCGGGGGGTGGCCGCCTGTGGCCCGGCGCCTCTCAGCCCCTCTCCCGCCCCAGTCGGCTGCAGGCGCCGCGCCGGGGGAACGCTGAGCTGAGACCGCGCCGGCAGCCGAGCGGGAGGCGGTGAGGGGACGGGGACATGGCGGAGACCGGCTCCGTGCACGCCACCAGGTTCGAGGCAGCCGTGAAGGTGATCCAGAGCCTGCCCAAAAATGGTGAGTGCGGCCTGGGGAGGGGGGCACCGGCGGCGGCGGGTGTGTGTGTGTGTGTGGGGGGCAATCCCGGTGGCATCGGTGCGGGGCCTGGCCGGTACCCGCGGCCCGGCCGGGGCAGTAGGGCCGCCTTCCCTCAGCCGGCGGCTGGAGAACCGCTAGAAAACCTCGGTCTCGGTGCCGCCCACCGCTGCTCCTTGAAGACACGGCGGTTCGGGGGCTCCCGGGGTTCCTCAGCCCGGCGGGGAAGGGCCTCGGCCGCCCCGCACTCCCGGGGCTGGTGTGACGGCCGTGAGTTCCCTCTGCTGAAACACCTCATGGAAAAGAGAAAACCAAAACCAAACAAAACCAACCCAGAATGTATCTTTTTGGTAAGAGTAATAAAAGTAAGGAAGTTGGTTGTTACGTACTTCATAATTTCGGTCTGTCGAAGGACTAAGATAAATGTCACTGTCAACTTTTCCTAATAACTAGAATCCAACCTCAAAGTGTTTGATATGACAGGTTTGTTATGAGTCTGCCCTGCCAGCTGTTACAGTTTTGTAAGCATTTCCTACCTCTGCAAAAGTGTGTTCCGCAAGGAAGAAAAGAAAAACAGGAGAAACAGTGAAACTGCTATTGAAAGTGCTGTCAGATATCCAAAGTAAACAAAAACACTGCTGAAGGGCTGTGTTTTGGGTTTGTTGTGTTTGTTTTGTGAGGGCTTTTTTTGTTTGTCTTTTTTTTTTTTTCTGTGTAATTCTGGAGTCTTTCAATAAGTTACTGTTTGTAACAGTGAAGTGACTTCCAAGGTATTTTGTTTACTAGGAGCTAAACCTGTCCCCTTAAAACTGAGTGAAAGGACACTCACTTTATTACTTATTACTTTTTTTTTTAATTCGATTTGTGGATTCTGACCTGAGTAGTAGCAAAGGTTATAGTCCCTTGAACTCTGTCAAAAGTAAATGTTGTCAGTGGTGCTGGGTCATGGTAGATGAAATGAAAATGTTCTTTGAGTTAAATTGTACTGCTGTCAATTGGGCCATAACAAACTGCAGGCTATTTTCTCACCGAAATACTAAGCTTGTAAAATGCTCATTAATAGTCTCAATTATAATTTAATTGTATTTTAAAATGCTTTCACTAGGTTCATTCCAGCCAACGAATGAAATGATGCTCAAGTTCTATAGCTTTTATAAGCAAGCAACCCAAGGACCCTGTAACATTCCACGACCTGGATTTTGGGATCCAATTGGTAGATATAAATGGTAACTTTTAATGAGTTGTTGTTTTAGGTTTTTTTGTTTGCTTGGTTTTTTTTCATGCTCGGAGGGAAGATGTTTAGAAGAGTGGCACATGCAGAAATAGTTTAGTGGGTTTATTTCTTTTTTTTAAAAAGAAAAGCTTGAATTCATTTTCAGTCTTGTGTTCCAACTTTCTATCTCAGATAATCTGTAACTTCTCAGAGGTGCAGGTGAAGACATTCCCTTGGGTTTTGCAGGTGGGCAGGTTTTTCTTGGGCAACCACCATCATGGTACCTCTGCACTGTTTATCCCGTGTTATAGAATGAGATTGTAGGTGCTCTGCAGAGTGAGCGATGTGGAGCAGTGTCTGGAATTCTTCCAGATCGAGTTCTCAGGTATGATGTGAGCCTGAGGTAGATCAGTGCTCACTGACAGCCAGTGATACAGCTTCAAGCTCTTGGGGAGAGGTCTGGTTTATGTGTCTTTCTGGTTTGTCTGCTCAGTGGCAGAACTTCCCACTGTCTGTATTTTCCTTGTGCTGGGAAGATTTCTGATTCACCAAATAGCTAAGATCTGTTTGAGAAGCCATGTGAAATGCTTTGCTTAATATATTTTAATAATGACTTGGCCTGAAGAACAAGTATTATTGCTGTCTTTATGGTCATGGCCTTCTTGGGATCTGTGAAATTATTATTCCTATGGCTTTTTTTTTTTCCCCTTCCTCCCCAGTCTCCCCAAGTCAGGGTGAAGGGAGTATCTTTGCAGAGGACTAGGGCAGTAAGCTTCCACCCAACCTGGCTGGTTGTAGCTGAAACATGAGCCACCAGCCTTGGGGTTTTGCTGTAAGTGGGACAAATACTCTGGCAAGGGACAGCGTCAAATCAAGTGCAAGACTGTGTAAGGAAACTTCTTGTTACACTCTGTGTTCTGACAGATTCCTTGTGCAATGCTGATAAATTTGATAGGACTTTTCTGTCTTGCAGAGTTGTAGCTGGGGAGATTTTTTTAGGTCAGAAGTAGCTGCTGTGGTAACTGGGGATGATGGCTGAGCTACTGGCCTAGCAGACTGACATGTCTCCCCCCAGTTGCTAAACTTGAAAAAGACAGACTTTTCTTGTAGCCTATTCTAACTTGATGAAAACTGTAAGTGCTGGCTGGAGTGCCAGTGCCTGCTCTTTTTCTGGAGCAGAAGGTCATTAAAAAAATCAGCCTAATCAAAAGGGAAATATGCATGTCTCATATCTGGGCTTGTTAACAACTTACCAGGTACAGGTTCATAGCTGGGCAGTGAGGAACCCTTCAGGCCCCAGGCTATCCAGTTTGTTGCTCCTTTGTTGATGTACCACTATGTGATTATCCTAGCAAATTATGTATTTGGAGTTAAAAAACCAAAAAGTTGTGAACTGTTGTTGCATTTTATTTGTATCAGAGAAACTTTGGGCATTACATAACTGACCTACTTAGGGCCAGGCTGAAAAAAATCAAGTAGGCCTTGAAGATACTGAAAATGTATGAACGTACGTGACTTTCTTTCCTAGGGATGCTTGGAGTGCCTTGGGAGACATGTCCAAAGAAGAAGCTATGATAGCCTATGTTGAAGAAATGAAGAAGGTAAGTTTACTAATGAGTGGAGGGCTTCTTCTAAAACAACTGTTTCAGAAATAAATTAAGGAACCTGAGGAGGTTCTTGCTGACTACTGCTGTTAAAGCTTCAAAGGAGTTATTCCATATGTGAACTGTTAGATTTCAGTACTATTCCAATTGGCCAGGGGGGAGAAGAAAATTGTGTAGTTTCTTCCAAAGCTATAGAATTTGAGTTGTTTTAAGAGAAACACGAGGGCTCTAGCTGGTATGAAGCTTGAATGACAGAGCTTAAAGAGAGCAAAGTATTGAAATCATGGTAAAAGGGGCAGTGGGGAAAACAGTGGAAGTTAACAACAAAAGAAAAGCTGATCTACTTCAAACTGCCTCAGTTCTCAGAGTTCAAAGAGGTACGTGATCCTTATCTTGGAAAGGGGAAAACCCCAACTTCCCAGAAGGGCTTCAGGAGCAAGAGTCTCACTCTCATGATGAGAGACATGAGTATAATCAAATATATAAACTTAATTATCTTTGATTTTTCAAGAAGAACTCAGCAACCTGAATTTTCTGTACTTGTCATTAAAATATTCCTTGTACGTTACAGTTGCAGTGAAACAGTTAGAATTGAGTAATTTGATCTGCCTTTTTTGGAATAGATGTGTAACTTGTAAACAGTCATAGTTGCTGCAATTCCTGCTTAATACTGTATTAACTAAAGTAAGAATTCAGAATTAAAGTTTCTTTTCTTTTATTAACTAACCCTTTTCACTGCGGTCTTTTCACTGAAGCCCTTCTAGGTGGCCTTTCTAGTTGAAAAATTATTTACTGTCAATCCAGATATTATAGATTACAATTATACTTCTAAGGTTAGCATCGAGGAGAAAACATAAGTTTATTCCAAATACACTTGCTTTTTTCCTAGGCCACTATCTTGACATTAAACTCTTAACAAGTTTAATGATTGATACAACAAAAACTTTTACTAGGCAGGGAGCTGGAGTCTGACTACTGTTCTTTTTCCTATCTGCAATTTTGGTAATTTAGTTCCTGTTGGTATTACTGTAGCTGCTTTAAAATGAAAAATAAACAACTACAAAAGCCACAGGAGGCCAAATATTCATTTGGTCAAAAATCCCACTAAAATTTAATATTCTTTTTGAGTGCATACCATAAGATTTAGCTCTTCATTTCAAGTCTCAGATTCAAAAAGTATTAATACTTCAGTAGTATCTTATTTTTTTCAATGCAGTAATTGGTTTGGTCAGGACACTAAAACTAAGTGAAACTGCAATGTTTGTTCTAAAAAAAACTCTAGTAAGTCTCCTGTGAGGAAATCTAATTACTTGACCCTAATGAAGCACAAATGTTCTGCCTCTGTACATATTATATGGGGGGGATTGGAGAGCAAGACTTCTTTCCCTTCTCAGCTTTGAAACTGGGGAGTCTGTTTACCACGCTTTGGTGCTGTTTCAGCTCTCACATTTGAAATATTAGCTTCAGCTTTTCCAACCTGATTGAGTCTAATTGAAATGTCAATTGGAAGTGCATTTCAAATGGCTCCACTGGGTTGTTGTATCAGCAGGCACTGCGCTAATCCTTGTGGTGTTCCTGGGGGCATCTGCTGTTGCTGCATGGGTGTCTGTGACTTGGGGGGAAAAGAAACCTGCTCGTATATTGATACGACAGGACTGTGTTTAAGGGTCTATAAGACTGCCATATTCCTACCCCAGCCCTGGGGCGTGTCCCTAACATTTGCTTATTATGTTTGGGCTGTGCGTGCATCAAATGACCCAGTCACAGGATACTTTTACTGTGAACTTGTTTGGTGGTTTTTTCCCTTCGTGTGGAAGCCTTGAAAATCATGGCTGTTGAGGAACATGTCTAGATGAGATTTTGAGGTGCTTGTGTGAGATGACCAAAGGTGTTTTAGCTAAGATGAATCTGACCCCAGGTGCATTTCGTTAAGGTTAATTTATCTTCCAAGTAGCCTTTCTGAATTCTTATGTTGCAATACTGTTTAAACTACTTTATTTGCATTTCAGATGTATTGTGGTGTTATGTATTAGAAATGAGTGATATTTTAGCATAGAGGTGTTAACACTACATGGTGTTTCTAATTTAAGATAAGAGTCTTCATATATGAATTGTGTGATATCCAAAAAAACCAGTAATTCAGGATACGTAATAACTTACTTTGCACTTTCAAATTTTAAGACTGCATATTGTGCCTTGTGTATAAGTAAGCATTTCATTTTGTTTGTGGAAGTATTTGCTCTTGCTCACCTAAAAACTAGCAGTTACAAAACTTTAACAGAAACTGCAGTAAGATTATAAGAATTGCTTGAAGTTGCAGAGAGTACGTTGAAGTCTGTTTAGAGCAGGTGAGGAGCAGTTATGTGCAGACATCATACAAATGGATGTATGAAACAGTTTAGTGTAGAGTATAGAAGTAAATACATAGCAAATGCAAGTGTTATCCTAGAAAAGGATTCTTGTTTCTCTCAATGCTATTGAAGTTAAAGAAAAAACATGGAAAAAAAAGACACAGTTGTCCTGTTTCTGTTTCATATCCAGCTCCATGTCTGAGCACTGAGCATTGCTCTCTAACAAATATGAAATGAATTATATACACAGAATAGATCAAACTGCAATGAAACTGCAGTTTGATAGGATTGTTGTCTCTGGGTATCCTTGATTGGTTTTTAAGTGTTGACTTGTTACCTGTCTGGAGCTCCTGCTTTGTGAAGTAATGCTGTAGCTTTTGCTTCTACTGCTTAGTGATGTGTTTGGGGCTTTTGAGCAGCATGTTCTGTGGCAACCTGTGCCTCCCATCTGTTGCTTTCTTGGCGCTCTTCTGCTGGAGGAGGTGTGCTGTAGCTATTAGTTTGCTTCTACCTGAATCTTTTCCTATAGCTATTACCCCCTTTAAAAAATAATAATCTATTATCTATCAATCTATTCAATCTATTTTAGGTTTAAGATTTTGCATTCCTATTAGATGATCAAAAGTATTGGTTTTGTAACTTAAAATGAAGACACTTTTATCAGTAGAAGAGCTCTAAATGACTTCAAGACCAGAATTAGGTTCTAGTTTGCTCTGCAAAGTATGTCTTTTGTGCTGTCCCAGTTTTGCTGTATTCTGTCCACTTTGTGCTTGGGTTTAGATAGACCTGGTGGGGCACTTCTGATCTGTTCCTTGCATTCCATTGAAGATGACAAGGTTTGACAAATATACAGAATCCTCTAAGGAAAAAAAAAGTCTTCCAGTTTCATTTTCTCTGTGGGAAGGCTTGTCTATAAAATAAATTGCATCAGATAACAGCAGCCTGTTGAACTTTGAGTTGGTTTAGTTTGAAACTGCTGAAATAATGTAATTGAAGTCTATTAATACTGTACTGAGGTGGTCCTTTAGTGATGGCAAATGCATTAGCTCTTTTATCTTCTCTTCACCTAAAAAAATGTTAATACAGCTAGTTAAGAATTTTATGTGGTGAATGAAGTTTGTTGTTTTCATTTAATTAAAAAAAAACCAACCAAAAAACAACAAAGCAGAATAATGTGTGAAGTGACTTAGAGAAATGTTACTAAGTTTTACAATGACCAGCAACTTCTAATCATTTGAAATGAATGAATTGTTGAAATGCTGTTTCATAAGATGCTTCATATTTTGGACTTGTGCAGATTCTTGAGAGTATGCCAATGACGGACAAAGTTGAAGAATTACTACAAGTAATAGGCCCGTTCTATGAAATAGTAGAAGATAAAAAGAACAGAGGATCTGACCTAACCTCAGGTTCGGACAAATAACTTACTTTATACTATTAATAATCACAACTCTAGATTTTTTTTGGCGGCTTGTTGTCTGTAAATGATTTTTAAAGCTAAATGTTGCATCTTTCTGTTCATTTTCTTTACCGTATGGCAGTTCGAATGGAGAAAGTCTCTAAGTATTTGGAAGGTAGGAATAATAAATTATGTGTAAGTCCATCTTTTCCATTGTGTTGGTGCTGTAGTAACGTCCACTTCTGGGCTTGCCACCTCATTTGTCTGGATTTTGGGGTTTTTTTGCTTTTGAGGTATAAAATAAAGTTAGGCCCAAGAAGCTGCATGTTTAGTCCCTGTCTACAGGCTTTTTGAGCTGCTTAAGGAAGCCTCTTCCTGAAAAAAGGAGAATATTTGAAATGACCAACCAACTCTCCCAACCAAATCTAGTTTCTGCTGTTCTGTCAATAAAAGGGACAGCTATTTGAAATGCATACTGCTACATCCTGGTGTAGCTGTGGGTTATCAAACTGCATGCAGAGCTGGTAATCCAACTCTGTCACCTGATCTAAAATAAAATGTAAAAAAAATCCACAAACAAAATCCATGGTTTTTTAATTGTGGTTTCTCTAAATCATACAGAATCTAAGATGGGTTTGTGAAACTTCCAAATTAAGTTTTCTGAGGCTTAAGTTTATCAGAAGAATATCTATTTAAACATTTTAAATCTCTGGCAAGTGGCAAACCTAGTGGTGTCATAGCTACATAAAAATCAGTGTGCTGATTTTTATTTAGCAATACCATTGTGAGAATGTTTTGATAGTAACAGTTATTATGTTACAGGTAATGTGTTCGTTAGGTTGTAATATAAAGCTTACAGTTGTTTAAATCTGGCTTAAAATTACAGTTTTGTCCTATTGCATTTCAATTTTTGAAACCACTTTAAAAAAAAAGTAAACCATAGCACAAATTAATTGGTTTAATGTGTTTAAGAAATAGGAATCAGCTGTGTAAGTTGCCTTTTGTGTATGGCTTTCCCCCCCAAGTCCTTAAAGGATCATAGTTTTGATTTTGGTTTTGGTATCAACTGCTAGAGAAACAGAAATAGTTTTTTATTGTTTTTGAGGAAAGGTAATGGTAGAAGTTTTTAAATGGCCATTTTGAAAGCTGTATGGCTCCTTTTCTTGACTAAAACAGTGTATGCTTCGTATCTGGGATTTAATGAGTTTGGCTGCAGCTGGATTGAAGGGCAAGATTGTAAGAGTATCAGTAGATTCAGGTCAGTGATCTGTGTAATACGGATTTACTTGGACTTGGTGTCTGTGGCACAGTGCCAAAAGCCACTTCTTAAAAAAAAAGTGACTTATCTAGGTGAACAGAGAATCATGGAAGTTAAACTGTACCTGTTTCAATAACGGATTTAGGGTATTTGTTTTAAAGAGGCAGCTTACACATAAGGCAGTAAATAAAACAATATCAGATTTCAGCTTTGTGTTGTTCTGTCAGTGTTGTAATAAATCTGGTGATGTGTTGTCATTTGTGTAGTTTAAAGCTGCAACATCTAATTATGCCACAATGGATTAAGACATAATTTTCGCAAAGTCTATTGTATGTTATAACTTCACCGTTGCATTTAAGACTTCGAAACCCTTTCTTCAGTGCTCTCACCACTTTCCCAATTAAAAGTGAAGCTGGAAATAATTATTACTATTTACAGTACAGGTCTCAAAATATTTCACAGGAAGCATGAGTACCTTTGGTCTTCTAGATACATGCTAAAGAATAGAACCAATCTGCCCAACTCTGTGTAGGCACTGGTGAGAATACTGATAAAAATTGATATGTGGTTATGTTTTGATTGCATTAGTTCCTCCAGTCCTGTTTCTTACCCTGCCCCCAAACTGTAGTTTCTGTTGCAGAAGTTGTCTTTTCATGGGCAGGCAATTGGTATGTTCTGGAAACTGGGACCCTTCTCTTGCGTCTCTTACTTCATGCTGTGCTCTCCCTGTCTTCTTGCCTATTCCATTTTAAATTTGCCTTCCATCAGATTTTAATCTGTATGAAAAGAACTGTCTAATTGTGTAAGAATTGCACGCCAGTTCCTCAAAATCAACAGTATTCTTGAATTAGTCAAAGAGATTGTCTGGATGTTTAGCGTACCTCAGCTGTGGCTGGTGTATCGTCTCCAGCAGACTGGCCTCAACAGAAACCTGTAGCCTTTTAAAATGGAATTTCTGCTCCTTGCGGTTTCATTGAAAATGTTAAATACAAACAATTGAAATACTGTCTCCCTGAATCAATAGAGCTTGTTCAGTCAGTAGTCTATTTCTGACAGGTATGAAGTACTTGTTTAATAGAGAAAATTGATGGGTTATTTTCAGGTACATAAAATACTAGACATCAAAGAAGAAAGCGGGCTCTTAGCTGTGATAGTGCTGCAGAACAGAGCAGGTAACTGGCAGTGTTACAGAAGGACCCTTTTGTCTACAGCTGCTGGAAGAGTAGAGGGAGGACAGTCCAGTAGGGTGGAGGTGCTTTAGAAGAGCAACTTTTTAACTTTTTGCACTTGCTAATAAATGTGCAAGAAATCTGACATCCAAGGCAAAAAAACAACAAAGCTTCAAAATACTATTGCTCAGTGAATTTTACATTTTCAGAATGGGCATTCAAGCTTTCTTGTTATGTTATACCTGAAGAAAGCAACGGTGGGCTAGAATTGGCACCCTACTGATTTGATTCTGGGTGAACTCATCCTTCTGCATGTCTCCTTGAGGATGTTTGTGGATGTCGTCTTTTTTCTGAATGTGAGTAAATCCAAAGAGGGGAAAGAAAATCCTTACCTGACAGGCCCACACTAAGTTATCGTGACAACTAAGCAAAGTATCTGGAAATTGTTCACAAGTTATTCAGTAGAATTTTCCTGTGTATACCTTCTGCTTTGTGACAAGGCATTTATCAAAGGATCATAGAAAGGTTTGGGTTGGAAGGGACCTTAAAGATCATCAAGTTCCAACCCCCTGCCCTGGGCAGGGACACCTCCCACCAGACCAGGTTGCTCAAAGCCCCATCCAGCCTGGCCTTGAACCCCTCCAGGGATGGGGGATCCACAACTTCCCTAGGCAACCTGTTCCAGTGTCTCACCACCCTCACAGTAAAATATATTTAATATATTTTAAAATCCTACTAAGTAAATATGACCCTTTGCCTTTATGCTGAGCCGCAGCACTCCTTGTAAGCCTTTGTGAGGACTAAACGTTGCCTCCAGTAGTGACAAGCTGGGCATTGTGGAGGCTGTGGAAAGCTTCAGCATTGCAATACTCCCAAATTTTGTCATCGTAATGGGTGTTTCTCTCCTGAAAACCTTGCTCCCAGCTGTATTGCAGTTGCAGCAGGTGAAGCCCTGTTGAAGCGAGGTGAGGGCACTGCCTCAGCAGCAGCTTGTGTGGATGGCAGAGCCTGGCCTGGCTCACAGGCAGGTGCAGCTATTGAACAGTGTCTGCCTGCATTGGACATGGGAGCTAGGTTTAAAAGACAATATTCACTGAGGTCTGTGTGCTTTTAGAACAAGCAAATACATGTAAACGTTTCTATTTCAAAGGCAGTAGTTAGTACAGGACATAGGTAAGCTTGGAGTGGATTGCACTTAAAAGAAAAACAAAACCAACCAGTGAGTCTGTTCTTAATTATTACTTTCCTGGTAGAAACATTTATTCCTGCCCTTAAAATGTAGTATATTTTCCAACTGCTTCTGTAGATCGCGTATGATTAGTTTCTCTTTTCAAATAGTTTTATTTTCCCAATGAGCTTACGTTACTTTAACATTTTTGCTTTGTAATGGAGCATTTGGTGGCACACTCTTTCTGCTTGTGTATGGGCCTTTTCTGTGAAATACCCTGTGTTTACTTGATAAGCTCACTTTTTTGTTTTGGCTTCAGATGTACTTGCTAAACTCATTTCTTTTCTTCCTAGGCTTTTTATTGAATTCAATGGCTGTGAATTTCTTTTTTTTTTTTTTTTTTTGTAAGAAGAGGGAAAAGAGCTAAAATCCCTATTACTCCAAGTGCTGTGGTTTAGTAGGTTATGTTGAATGGGTGGCAGCAGCACAGCTAGGGGTGCATTAAGGCAGAGCACACATGGGGAAGAGGAGCTGGTGGGTGGGTGAGGGAAGTTTTTAAAATTTCATCCTTTAAATGTTTTCTCCTCTTCTAGTTTCCAATGATAAGCTAATAGCCGTAATTAAGGTTAGAGATTATATTCAGGGAGGTCAGTGTGAAACTTATTGACAAAAAATATTTGTATAGTGTCTCAGTAATATAATAGCTTACCTTCAGAAACATCTAGAACATTCTCTGCAGCATTTGTTACAGGATTAAGGGCTGGGCCAGCAAGTGCCAAAGTCAGTGGAGAGTCTCAATGAGATGTGGATCAGTCTCTCAACAAGCTGTGGCTTGTTCTGTTGCAATATATACGTGCTTTAGGCTTTCCAGTTCAAATCTGAGCCTACTTTGTGAATCCACTTCAAACGGATGGTTTTATGCCAGTGCTGTCTAGCAATCTTGGAAATTAGGGCAGAGCATCAGTATAGCTCAAGCTTGAGGATCTCAACAGCTCTTCTGTCATACAGAGTAGCAGAGAGTATCTCACCACAGGGTGAGCAGCAGAGTATCCAAATGTGAAAGTGAAAAAAAAATAAAATTGGTTTCTTTCAAAGTGGAAAGAGCTAAGAGAAGCTTTCTTCCATGAAAAGAAAAGCCTGTCTGTATTCCATTTCATGCTGGATAGAGTCAACAGTAAGAGTGTTTGTGCATAATTGGTTGTTCAACCTGGATTTTTTTCTTCCAGCCAGTCAACAGTTCCCTGCAAAAGGGAAAACAAGGTGTCAAAAGCTCTTCAGGTTTTGAGAATCTGGCAGATGTACCCGCTTGCTATAAAATGTTGGTGTCTTATATTTTAGAGGGCTCACTTGTAGTTAAGATCTTGTGATGAGAGAACTGAAATCCCCATTTCTCTCAGCTCTCTTCTACAAAGTAGCAGCAGACAGAGGTATGGGAGACTGGGGAAGAACAGATGTTAGTAGTTGTACCTTGATTGCTCTCAGAAAAGTGCCCAGTGGGCATGGGCTGGTGTATCATAACTTTGTTTTAGCAAAAATAATGACTTTTATCATAGCTTCTAAGATGTATGGAGAAGCCATCT